TGATATAAGAGAAAATTTAAAGAAAGCTATAAAATAATTAAAACCAGAAAAATAATATCAATAAAATGTAGGTACAAAAATTCATAATAATTGTTTAAAATTATTATAATAATAGAATAAAAATGATAAATTAATAATTGAAGGGTGCCTTATGCAAATGAGATTAAACATCGCTTTGTCGTAGTGTTGTCTCGAGTATGCTCTAACTGATATTTAACGTAAGGATTTTAATGTAAAGATAATCTTATAAGGTAACTTTTTAACAGTGAATAAGCAATTGCAATGAGATGTATGAATATACCACAACTAACAAAATAACCAGAAAATAAATGGTGAATTAATTTCTGGGGTAAGGAAAATTTATATTTACGATTTGTTGCATTATAAATCGATGTCTAGATTTAATTTTAAGAATTGTTAGGTGATAAGGATTTAGATGTAAAAATAATTTTAATTATAAGTGTTTTAATAATGAAATGTATCGTAATAATCATGTAATGTAAGAAAACAGAAGGAACTTCGAAACAGAGATAAAATTACAGCGAAAGAATCGCTACAAGCAAGGTAAAAAGACACGAACTCGGAGTCTCTTTACTTCTGAGTAGTAGCGATTTTCTTATTTTTTACATCCATAATTCTAGTCCTTAGACACAGTCACGAAAGAAGAGTTAACTTAAACATTTGTAATGTAGAAATAAACGTTTCATTACAATAATTGATATTCTACGGATTTAATATTTACTTTATCAACAATAAGAATTAAAATATTGGCCCGTAATACTGTTGGATATTTACATTTCGTTCAGACTTAATCAAAATAATTTATTTTTTTTTCTAGTGTGATTTTAATCAATTTATATTTAAATTTTTAAAAGCTTTGATAATAAGAATTAGATGTCGTGTTATTCAACGTAATTCTTCAACTTAAATCGTTGTAATTTATATTTTAGAGCTTATTACACACAACAATCGAGTATACAATTATTTACAATTGTCATAAATTTTATAATTAGCAAAGTGTAATAAATTGTTTTGAAATACTCGATTGCTGTGTTTGGTAAGACCTAAAATATAAGCAAAAATACGTCGAATAATAATAATGTAAGGGCAAGAAGCAGAGTTTTAAATGTCATTATGTTTATTTCGACAACGTTCAAATTAAATTAATTTATTTGAATAAAAATAAGCTTAAATTAGACTTGATGACGTCATTAAGGAGTGTATTAGTTATACTGCATATGTTAGAATATTCCAATAGAGTTTTATGTTTTTGATAATCATTCAAATTGATACCTTTCTCTTGCCTAGAAAATCTATTTTACTGTAGTAATTATTTTCCCGGCTTTTATATATAATACAGGGAAACTATGGCGATCGGTCAAAAAATGACCCAAAATGTTTACTTTTTGGACTCGGGACTTTAAAACTTTGACAAATACAGAAACATTTCTGAAACTTTTTGTATGTGTGTGAAGGGTGTGCGATTTTGTTCACCTTATTCGAAGCTTAATAACGCTTATGCTTATTGTCGAACATTTCTGAAATTGTGCAGGGAGGTTATGCATAACGGGGATTAAGGCTATTAAATTTCGCTGGTGAAAGGAAGTGGGGAGATAAACAGGTATCGTGTCATACACCGATTAGGGTCACACTTAATGATTATTTTACTCTTTATTAGCATTTTTAATGTTTTATAATACCTAGCCAACTCAAAATTTAGTTATTTGCTTTATTATAATAACTTAGTATTATACATATAAATGTTTCATTCTTAAAGCTGAATTATAGTAGCGAAAAATTTCGATCACTACGCGAGAGGGGTATTTTCACCATTGGGGATCTTTAAACACGACTGTAGGGCTGTCCATAAATGACGATAGAAAGGGGGGGTTATGACAAGTCGGACAATGTCGAACATGATGAGGGAGAGGGGTTGAACTTCAATTAAGGTTCATTTTCTTTCATTAAATTTTATACAGTTCACGCAGTTTTTTATTATTCATATAATGATAAAAGTTTTGCGAGGATTTGAGTTTTGTTGGACGTTCAAACAAGAGAGGAGTTACGGAAATTTGGACAAACTGGGACAATGAAAAAGAAAGTAAAAATTTTAAAAAAATACGGACGTAACTTGTGCACAGCCCGTATTATGAGGTCCGGTCCGGGCTCCATAAACCACGAGGCGCAAGTGGGTCTAACTATAAAACTTCACTCTTCACAAACAGCTACATAAAAATGGCCAGTTGTGATTGCAAATGAAAGTACTTATTTTTAAATACTAAATCTATGATTAAAAAATTAGAGGCCCGGAAAAATTTGTACGGTGTTCTAAAGTCTCGCAACTATGGTTATTAGTTATACTTCATTGAAATACTGATATTCGCTTCACTGATTACGACCCTTGGGGATTGCGCTTCTAATAACAATTTTAGGCAATTCTACGTAACAATGGCAATGGAACAGATCACATTTATTTCAATTTAAAATTTAGTTGCACCAAAAGATTGAATATTTCAATATCTTCTTGGATTGTCTTTGATTTTTCCAGCACAGTGTTCAATCCGTTAGGCAGAGATCGTCTATTAGTAGTTTTTCTGTGACGTTCATCAATTATTTGATGATTTTTGTTCAAACGGGCTTTTCACTTCATTTCTGTTACTAATTTTATGTCTCTGAATTTTTCAATTTCATTTACAGTCGACCCCCCCTATAACGTACGTTCCTGTAACGACAATTCCTATAACGTAGCGAAAAAATTGTAGAAACTTTCGTATAACGTACCTCCTATAACGTCGTTTCGCGATAAGATTGATAGAGTCTGGACCAATAGTGGATGAGCAGCTGAACTACTTACCTCCGACCCTGCGCCACGCTACGGAGCGGCTAAATTGAGTTTGCTATCGTCTGTTTAGTATTATATATAAATTATATATNGCCCGGGCTTCATAAACCACGAGGCGCAAGTGGGGTCTAACTATAAAACTTCACTCTTCACAAACAGCTACATAAAAACGGCCCAGTTATGATTGCAAATGAAAGTACTTATTTTTAAATACTGAATCTATGATTTAAAAATTAGAGGTCCTGAAAAATTTGTACGGTGTTCGGAAGTCTCGCAACTAGGGTTATTAGTTATACTTATTCAAATACTAATATTCGCTTCACTGATTACCCCTATTGGAAATTGCGCCTCTAATAATTTTAGGCGATTCTACGTAACAATGGCAATGGAACATCACATTTATTTCAATTTAAAATTTAGTTGCACCAAAAGATTGAATATTTCAATATCTTCTTGGATTGTCTTTGATTTTTCCAGCACAGTGTTCAATCCGTTAGGCAGAGATCGTCTATTAGTAGTTTTTCTGTGACGTTCATCAATTATTTGATGATTTTTGTTCAAACGGGCTTTTCACTTCATTTCTGTTACTAATTTTATGTCTCTGAATTTTTCAATTTCATTTATTCTAAAAGTATTCGATTCGATTTAGGATTAAACTCTGTCTGTGACTCAATCAATAAATTTATTAGTATTTTAGTAAATGTGTATGAGTAAATATCCTGTACAGTCGACCCCCTATAACACGGTAGATACGTTCCTGTTTTTATGGATCCATTTCTTACGAGTCCAGCCAATCATAGCCGGCACGTATGCAGTTTACGGACTACGGCTGTTTGAAAGGTTTCTTCCATAAAATTTATCGATTCTAGACTAATTCGACTCAACATTTCCAAAATACGTATAATTTTTTGGGAATAATCCGTATAAACTATGCTATAAACAAAAAATTGTAGGATTACTTACCGAGTGTGCACCGGTCGACTAGGTCGTTGCTTAGGCTTGTTTTCGTCGCGGAGATCGCCGTCGAATGGCGCTCGCGTGCATTTTCATAAATTATTTTTTTGCCAAAAATTCGCTGAACTTTGGCGACATCGTTAATATAAATATGATTTTTATGGAAGTTAAATAAGAAATTGTTTTTAGTAGATCTGCTGCTCGTTTAAACTCAATGGTTTGTACAATCCTGTCGTGACACGAGTCGGCGATGATGTTTTAACAAATTATAGGAGTTTTTTTAGCATGTTTGTACGAATGATGACGAAATTTTTTTGCCGCGATATAGTAATCCGAACTATAGGAATTTATGTTATAGGGGGGTCGACTGTAATTTAAAAATAGAAATTATATAAATTTTAAATGATTTAGCGCAAACAATAGAAATTTTAATTACTGTACAATATACACATTGAATATGAATTTGTCTGATATTTAATTAAAATAGTTCTATTTTTCCATTTAGCAAATCTTCACCTTGCAAATACAAAAACTAAAAACGAGAAGAACGAAGTTCAATCTTGCAAGACTGAAATCCACGATTCACTCTTAAGAAATTGTATTTTACACGTTCCAAAGTTAGCAGTTCCTCTTATCGAGAAGTTATAAGGAAAGTATACTTTAAATAAGTCTTTAAAACACAATTTTTCATTTAATAATAGCAATGATTAAGACTATATATAATACCTTCTAATATTAAATTTATTATTAATTATTATTAAAATATTAAAAGCAATGTAAAATTAAAATTTTATGCAATTTATTTCATGTATGTTGTTATTACTTTCAGTTGTTCTTTGCACAAAACAGTTTTGAAGAAAATATTTTCCAAGTTTATAAGAAAAATTGAATGTTAGTTACACTGCTTTACTTACATCAGTGATCTTCGTTTCAAAAGAAGAAAAAAGTGTACTGCAAAGATAGAAAAAGAAAATTCATGAAGACAAATACATTTAAAAAATATTTCACAGAAATTGTTTAGGCTACTTTAATATGTCATCCCTGATTAGCTGTTCTTGAAAATATTAATAGCATAATATATTTATAAACTAATATTATCATCTCTAAAATTATTTTTGTGTGTGTTTTGATACAGAAATGTTCTTTTAAATATAACAATGATTATTGAATTAAATATTATTAATGATTTAATTATTGTTTTTATGTAAGAAACTTTTTATTATATCGATAAAATATTTATAAAAAGTATTTTAATTGCAGGAAAAAAAAACCAAAAGAAATTTTTATGTAAACACTGTAAGAAGAACTTTACAACTAAACAAATTATGCAAATTCATGAAAGAATTCATACAGGAGAAAAGCCCTACAGTTGTGATGAGTGTAAACAGAAGTTCACAACTAAACAAAATATGGAAAATCATAAAAGAACCCATACAGGAGAAAAGCGTTACACTTGTGATGAGTGTAAACAGAAGTTTACACAAAAGGCACACTTAATTACACACCTCCGAAAACACACAGGAGAAAAGCCTTACAGTTGTCACGAGTGTAAAAAGGAGTTTGCAAGAAAGTCAAACTTAATTAGACACCTTCGGATCCATAACAGACGAAACTAACGTAAATATTAATTATGACCAGCGAAATTCGTTTGAAACTATGATCCAAAAATGCATTAGAATATACGCACTTTGAAATTTTGAAGGAATATTATTTTTAATTTCTATTGATGTAAAATGATCGAAAGACGTAAGCAAAACTGGTTTTAGATGAAAATTTATGTTTTTCTAATTTCTAAAAAGTTTCAACTAAAAATCATCTCGATATTCATATTGAAATGTAGCTCTTTTCGAATTTTATAATTATATTTCAAATGGTAACAGCTCTGTATCTCGATATTTTTAAATAAAGTTTAATATTTTCTGAAATTTTGAAATTGCAATTTTCTGTTTGAACAAACTTCTACATAAACAGAGTTTATGTGGAAGTTTGTTCAAAACAGATTTCGTTATTTTTTAATCACATTATTACAACTTCATGAGAAGCTTAGTGGTAGGAGGATCCGGTAAACTATAATCAACCTTCACCTTGGTCAGTAAGCCACGTCATTTCAATTTAAAAATTTTTTCCAGAATGGAGTTAGACAACCCACATGATTCGATTGTTATCTAGAAAAATATGATGCACAGAAGCAAGACGCTACTAAAATCGAGAGCATATATTTTATTATAACTAAACTTATTATTAAACTTTATTAAACTTTATTATTAAACTTTATTAAACTTTATTATTATATACTAAAAATACGTTCGATTTCCTGCAAAAACGCAAGAAACTGCATCTAAAATAGTGCAAGTGCCAATCGTTGAATTTAGAAACGTACCCATTAACAAAAAAAAATTTATTTTATGTCTTTAACTATACGAAAGCAAGAGATCAAGTGTAGTAGTTTTTACAATAGTTGAGTCACGCCACCCTTTCAACACTTAATTTTAGTAAGGGTAGGGTGTTATTTTTTAGCACTAAAATCGTTTTATACTTTTTATACATTATAAAATGGCAAAAAGCTTCATTTTTAGGGTAGGGATGAATTTTATGAAGAAAATTATAAATGCTAATAACGAGTAAAATCCTCATTAAGTTCGACCCTACTGGAGGTATGACACAAGACCACCCTTTTTCTCTTTATTCGGTCGACTTTTATCTACCGAAATTGAATGGCATCAATGCCATAATACGCAAACCTTTATGAAAATTTCAAAAATTTTCTACAGAAAGTATAGGAGTTATTAAATTAAGCATCAAAGCGAGTGAACAAAGTACTATCCCCCACTGAAGCTTGCGCGTTTATCGTTGTTTATGGTACTGTCAACTTCGAGGAACTCGTTATACGTTATACAAAATGGAATTTAGTGAGTCTGGTTTAAAATATCATTATTAGAAAAAGTTTAAATAGGAGTATTAAAGCAAGCAACACATAAAGGACGACAACAGCATTGACGAAAAAATTAAAGTATTTATATTATTACCGACGTATCTCAAAAATAACAGTTTTTTTTTTTTAAATTGATGTCCTCAATATCAATACATATTGTTCTATCAGAGGCAGTATACGTAGCGTATTTAGTCGAAATACGAGCTACAGTATATATACGGTATAATAACGAGGTTGAGGCCGAAGTTTTAAACGCGAAAACGTGTACTGCGGACGTTCAGCGCCGCTTTCTTGCAAGCCTAGAAGTTTGGCAATGTCGAGAATGATTTCACTCACTTTTCAAACGACATTGTCAAACGTCCAGGCTTACAGGAAAGCGGCACTGAACGTCTGCTGTACACATTTTCACGTTTAAAATTTTGACTTCAACACCGCTATTATTTACTTTTTCGGCTATAAAAATCTCATTCTAATTCAATTCTAAATTGCAAACAGATTGGATAGGAAACTTTAAATGGCGCACAAAAATTGCGACGAAACGTGAATTCTCGTACGTTCATTATTTATTAATGTATGAAAAACGACGTAGACAGAAGAACGAGAAAGTAAAATGAAACTTGCTACGAAAGGAAAAGTGTACGAAGGTCGGTTTAGGCAGAGTTTGAATGTCGAGTTTCGAAGTGGCTAGCGATTTGCTAGACACTTCAAGGGGTGCGAGATGTGTTGATATTATTCCATTTATAATATCATTTATAATCTAAGGATCAATAAAAATTGATATAGAAATTTGTTTGCTTTGTTGTTACCGAGTAGGTGTAATTTTTCGAACAGTTTTGCTTTTCCTCAATAAATGATTTATAAAAAAATTAACACCGAAACTGCCACAACACTGTATGATCATAAACCACGTCATAAATGACAAAATACCGAAAATCTCACACTTTAATTTTGGGCGAATTTTGGGCCGGTTGTACTGTACAACCTGTAAATTTTACTAGTTGATGGAATCGGAATAATTGAAATTAGGTTTGGAACCAAGTATTGATAATGCGTTTAAATTTCCTTTAAAATTAGGATTACAACCAATCCATAGTGTGTGCAGTTTATGTTCAAAAACTTTAAAATATACTATCGAAGTGATAGAAATTCGAGTTTGTTAAGATGTAGCAATTGTGAAAGGAAGTATTCAGATTATGATAGAACCTTTAAGGACAAATGTGGCAAAATTTCATGGGTGGAATTTTGTAGTTCGTATGGCATTACCTTTGTTTGGAATGCACGTCAACAAATTCGGCTACTGCTGCAGCCTGCAGGTATTTCAAGAAGGTAGGCATCGATTGGTCAAACCACATACGTTTAGTGATGCTTATAGCTATGAATAACATGACCTCGTTTAAAATCGGAGGTCCTAATAAAACCGTCGAAGTAGACGAAACAGTAATATGCAAACGCAAATACGAAATAGGGCGTATACTGAAATCTACAAAATTGGTCGTAGAAGAGAATAGTTGCTTCATTTGTCAAGTGAACGACAGATCTGAAACCACGCTGAATTGGGTTGTGTCTAAATTTGTAAATTCTGGTAGTCTAGCTATAACCGATGAATGAAAGAGATATAATCACATAGATGACATTGAAGAAATAGATATTGAACATAGAACAGTTAATCATTCAATAAACTTCGTAAACCCGAAAACGGGCGGTCATACTCAAAACATTCAAAGGTTATCTGGTTATTTAAAACATAAAAAAACAATTTACTAAAGCATTACACGGATGATCTCTCGGACTCATACATGTATTCCTTTATGTATAAGAAGTTCATGAAATGGCCAGCTAGAAACCTCGGAGAAAGACTTCAAATATTCGTAAAACACTTGAATATGACATATCCGGGTACCGAAAAACACCTTAATGGATAGAACCAAAGTGTGTTCCCGCCGCACCCGTTCCAAAAAAAAAAAAAAAGAAAAAAAAGCCCAAAAAAAAAAAAAAATGACTAATAAGACAAAGAAAAGAACGTCCACAGGTGCTGAGAAATCGACTTCGTCAGGGAAGAAACGTAGGAGAGGAAAAAAAAGATCACAAAAATTGAGTAATAATTTCAATACAGTAATATCCCGACTTACGCTATTTTCAAATCTTGTCGATTCGTCTTTTGTTTCAGCGCCACGCACTCTTGATTACTCACTCCACCCACACTATTGTTCAGCTTACATGTTCCGACGTATCATGCAGAATCGACACATAGCTACAATTTATTTTGTGTTATTTATTTCTGTGTTTCTTATTTCTACGAAGACTTGAGAGACTCTATGTGGTGATTTCTCGTAACCGTGAACGAATCAAAAGACGAGATAAGATTAACGAGAACATTTATTAGCTTACACACATCTGACTTGGATTTTATACAAATTCCGTAATTACACCCCGACTTACGCGAATTCCACTTACGCGGTTATCGCTCGGTCTCACCTATTACGTAAGTTCGGGGTATTACCGTAATCTACTAGAATAAGTTATGTTAGTTTAGGACACGTGACCGCTCCGCTCGAACCATCGGTTATCGCGCAGTCTCTAGAAGAGTTCGAAATGGCGACCGAAAATTCTGCGATTTTGGCACCATAGGTAAAAATAACCCGTTTTTGTTCAGGAATTTATTCCTGGAAAAGATTTAGACCCTGTGTATGATAGAAAAAGACAATTCAGTAGAGCATCGATTATCCGACTAAATTGGGGACTCGGGTTGGTCGGATAACTAAAAAGAATAAAAAAAATACATTATTAGTATAGTATATTAGTATATCCCATGTAATTAGTATATCGCTATTAACCAACTTCGCGTTGAATTTTCATCGATGTTAAAAATTATTTTTAAATTATTTTATTGCTCACAAAACAACCACTCATAATTAGAAAATTAAGACTCCTTTAAATACTGGCCGCCCTTCAATGGTCGAGCCGTTGATGCCAACTAAAATTTAACAAAAATAATATTAAAGTAGCCAAGACATAGCCAAATATTTTAGCGCCACATCGCTAGCGGACATTTGAAATTTGCCGACTAGAACGGTCGGTTAACCGATGTGACGGTTACTCGGTGGTCGGATAAGCAATGCTCTACTGTAGAATTTCTCGGCTATGTCATCAAACACAGAACAAACTAATACTATTTTTGTTTTTTTTTAGGTTCAAGAACTCGGGAATAAAGAAAAATAGAATTTATCTTTTTGAATAAATGAAGATGAAGAAAAAAGAAGGAACTTCGGAATAAACTGAGCTAAAATTACAGCGAAAGAGTCTTTACAAGCAAGGTAAAAAGGCACCAACTCGAAATTCTTTTGTATTAACGATTTTTTTACATCCATAATTCTAATCCTTAGCGCTAACGGTTAGACACAGTCATGAAAAGAAAGTTTACTTAAACATTTGTAATGTAGAAATAAACGTTTTATTTCAATAATTGATATTTTATAGATTTAATATTCACTTAACAATAAGAATATCGGCCCGTAAAATCCGATAGATATTGACATTTTATTCAGACTTAATCGAATTCATTTACTTTTTTTATAGTGTGATTAATCAATTTATGTAGAATTAGATGTCATGTTATTCAAAGTAATTGAAATTGTTATTAACGGAGACCGTTGTAATTTATATTTTAAGGCTTATCACACAGCAATCATGTATACAATTATTTAAAATTGTAATAAATTTTCTAATTAGCAAAGTGTAAAAAATTGTTTTGAAATACTCGATTGCTGTGTTTGGTAAGACCTAAAATATAAACAAAAATACGTCGAATAATAATGTAAGGGCAAGAAACAGAGTTATTATTATTAAATGTGGTCATATTGTTTATTTAAAATTATCGAATACGTTGAAATTAAATCAATTTATTTGAATAAAAATAAGTTTAAATTAGATAACGGTTGAAGCTAACGGTTCTTTCGATCGTTACTTCCTATTGGATAATACAACCTCACGTGGTCACGAAGAAAACATTTTTAAACACGTTTCTAATAAAGTGACACCGATGCGGCTATTTTTTTAAATTTTAAATTTTAAATTTAATAAAGTAACTTAAAATAATACGCCATTTGCAAACATATTTAATTTATAAATTTTATTTCTAGACGTTACCTTTTGGCTTAGATTATTTAGGCCTATACTCTAGTTTTATATACAATGTATAAGCGTTATCTAAAAGTCATCTGTTATTAGTGACGCTCGCCTCTTCAATTTCAACCTCGTGTAGTTCTGATCTTGTTAATAGTTCGAGGTCATCATTAAATGTAGACTTCATGACGTCATAGAAAAAGTGTGTGTTAGGCTGTGAGCTATACTCCGCGTTTCTTTATGCAGCGCTCGAGAAGCGCTTCACAGCGAACACACTGAAACTGGTTTCTAAATGGCCAACACTCATCGTGATGTCATTTCTCTACACTCTCGCTGCATAAAGAAACGCGGGGATACGGAATATGTCAGAATAGTGTTTTATTTTTTTGATAATTATTCAAAGTGATACCTTTTTATAGTTTAAAAAAGGCATTTTACTCGTACTTTTAGTAATTACTTTTCCGGCTGTTATATATAACAGAGGAAAACTTGTGGCGATCGGTCAAGAAATGACCCTTCCAAGATTTTTACTTTTTGGACTCGGGATTTTAAAACTTCGAGAAATACAAATAATTTTTTTCACTTTGTTCGAAGCTTAATAACTCTTGTGCCTATTGTCGAAAATTTCTGAAATTTTGTAATGAGGTTTGTGCATTACGGGGATTAAAGCTGCTAAATTTTGTCCGTTACAGGAAGTGAAGAGATAAACGGATATCGTGTCATATCTCGAGTAGGGTCTCACTTAATGACGATTTTACTAGTAATTAGCATTTCCAATATTTTATAATACGTAGCCTACTCTCAAAATTAAGTTATTTGCCATTTTATAATAAGTTAATACATATAAATGTTTCATTCTTTAAAGCCGAATTATAATTACCATAAACTTCGATCAGTACCCGACAGAGGTAATTTGCTCACCATTGTGGTTCTTTAAACATGACTGTCGGTAGCGTTAGGGCTGTCCGTAAATGACGTCCACACTGGAACGGAGGGAGGGGGTTATTACAAGTCGGACAAAGTCAAACATCGGAAAAGAAAGGGGTTGAACTTTAATGGAGGTTCGTTTTATTTCATTAAATTTTATTTAGTTTATGCGGTTTTTTTTATTCATACAGTGAGAAAAGTTTTGCGAAGATTTGAGTTTTGTTCGACATTCAAAGAGGGGTACGGAAACTTGGACAAACTGGGTGGGACAATGAGGGAGAGGAAGTAAAAAATTGAAGAAAATGCGGAAGTAATTTGCGCACAGCTCCTTTTATGAGGTCCGGCCCGGGCTCCATAAACCACGAGGCGCAAGTGGGGTCTAACTATAAAACTTCACTCTTCACTAACAGCTATATAAAAACGACCCAGTTATGATTGCAAATGGAAGTACTTGTTTTTAAATACTAAATCTATGATATAAAAATTAGAGGCCCGGAAAAATTTGTACGGTGTTCTGAAGTCTCGCAATTAGGGTTATTAGTTATACTGCATTCAAATACTGATATTCGCTTCACTGATTACGCCCCTTGGGGATTGCGCTTCTAATAACAATTTTAGGCAATTCTACGTAACAATGGCAATGGAACAGATCACAATTATTTCAATTTATAATTTAGTTACACCGAAAGATTGAATATTTCAATATCTTGTTCGATTGTCTTTTCTTTCCAGCACAGTGTTCAATCCGTTATGCAGATATCGTCTATTGATAGTTTTTCTGTGATGTTCATCAATTTTTTTATGATTGCTGTTCAAACGTGCTTTTCACTTTATTTCTGTTACTAATCTTATGTCTCTGAATTTTTCAATTTAATTTATTCTAAAAACATTCGATTAGATTTAGGATTAACCTCTGTCTGTGAATCAATCATTTTTTGGCAAGAGCACAGCAGCAACATTATAATTTTCCACGCATATTTTATCATTAAACATACGCTTTCCATTTCCATAGACTATCATTTATGCACAAACCATAACACTTCCTTCTCCATGTTTAAGGAAAAGTGTATAGAATTGTGCCAAATAGAAATTGTGCCAATTGTTATTCTATTCACAGGTCGATGAACAGAACCAAAAATGTTAAATTTGCTGTCGAATGAAAATATTACATGCTTTAACGACTCATAATCTTTTATTCTCTGTTTCATATTGTAGGTAGTTAGTCAATGTAAACGTCTACAATAACAATTCCAATTTAAACTTATTTTTTACATTCTGTATAGATATTTTTCGTATAGACATCCTTTTAAAAGAATTTGTATAAAATTCACGAACTACAATTCATCATATAAATTCATTGGTATTTTAGTAAATGTTTATCTGTAAATATCCTGTAATTTAAAAAAGTAGAATTTATATAAGTTTTAAATGATTTAGCGCAGAAAATAGAAATTTTAATCACAGTATAATATACACATTGAATATGAATTTGTCTGATATTTAATTAATATCGTTTTATTTTTCCATTTAGTTAATCTTCCCCTGCAAATACAAAAACAAACTAAAAACGCGAAAAACTAAGTTAAAAACTAAAAATACGTAACCAACACTTTATTACTCGCTGAGAGATTTTTATTAAAACAAACGTTTTCGATCCATTCAACGGATCCTCATCAGGCTAAGTGGAATACAGTAGAGCGTCGTTTGTTTGAATCAATTGGAACTGGGGTTGTTCGGGAAAAAAACGATATTTCGGATAACCGATTATGTACGAAAAAATATATTAATTTGTCCCATGTTGAAATTTTTCTCCGTTGCGTGTCGCTCCCCGTTGAATATTCGTCGATGTTAAGCCTAACGAAGACTATTGTATCGTTAAAAATTATTTATTTTTTATTTTGTACGAACAAAATAAATATATGGAAAAATATAAAAACAATAAAAAATTGTACTTCAGATGTTAATTTAGTATCAAAAACGTTAAATATTTGAGTAGCCCAAGACATAGCCAAAGATTGCAGCGCTACAGCACTGGCGAAAATTTAAATTTGCCGACTGGAATTCTTTCAGATTATTGACTTTCGGATAAACGACGCTCTACTATATTAATACTGTCTATCCTAACTAAATATAGTTTCCTTTACATTATACTTGAGTTCATGCACCTCTTGCAAGTTTTTAACGGCATACTTCCAAGCCTAGGGAAGACCCTCTGCGTCCCTTGCGTTAATGTATTTTTCTTTAATTAAGCCGTTCTTGCCAAAGTTGACAGTGTATCTGCTTTAGGGTTATCGCTTCATCCCATCGAACCAAGGAACCTTCTGCTTGCGCCATCTGGGCCAATACGGTTGTATTGGATCCTTTTCTAATATCATACCTGTGTTCTCTGATCCTTACACCTAGGTTTCTAGTAGTATATCGGTTTTTAGTATTTTTGAATTTTGTACTTGTTGTTCCATTTATGAAATATTCCATTTAGCCTGATGATGATCTATTGAATGGATCGACAACGTATGTTTTAATAAAAATCTCTCAGCGAGTGATAAGGTGTTGTTTACGTATTTTTTTTATTTTCTGCTGGGTACGATTGTGGTTTATATTGAACTAAGTTCAATCTTGCAAGAATGAAATCCACGATTCACTCTTAAGAAATTGTATTTTACACGTTTGAAAATTATCAGTTTCTCTTATCGAGAAGTTATGAGGAAAGTATACTTTAAATAAGTCTTTAAAACACAATTTTTCATTTAATAATAGCAATGATTAAGAATATCTATAATACATTCTAATATTAAATTTATTATTAATTATTATTAATATTAAAAATCATGTAAAATTAAAATTTTATGCAATTTCATGTATGTTCTTATTAATTTCAGTTATTCTTTGCACAAAACACAGTATTGAAGAAAATATTTTCCAAGTTTATAAGAAAAATTGAATGTTAGATAAACTGCTTTACTTACATCAGTTCCCTTCGTTTCAAAAGAAGAAAAAGATCTACTGCAAAGATAGGAAAAGAAAATTCATGAAGACATAAAGACATTTAAAAAATATTTTACAGAAATTGTTTAGGCTACTTTAATATGTCATCCCTAATTAGCTGTTGTTGAAAATATTAATAGCATAATATTTTTATAAACGAATATTATTATCTCTAAAATTATTTTTGTGTGTGTTTTGATACAGAAATGTTTTTTTTAAATATAATAATGATTATTAAATTAAATATTATTAATGATTTAATTACTGGTTTTATTTAAGAAATTTTTTATTATATCGATAAAATATTATTTATAGAAAATATTTTAATTGCAGGAAAAAGGAACCAAAAGAAATTTTCATGTAAACACTGTAAGAAGAACTTTAAAACTAAACAAAGTTTGCAAAATCATGAAAGAATCCATACAGGAGAAAAGCCTTACACTTGTGATGTGTGTAAACAGAAGTTCACACAAAAGGCAAATTTAATTAGACATCTTTCGATCCAGAATAAACAAAAGTAACATTGAACGTTAATTATGATCAGCGAAATTCGTTTGAAACCACGATCCAAAAATACATTATAATATTCTTACTTAGAAATTTTGAAGGAATATTATTTTTAATTTGTATTGATGTAGAATGATCGAAAGACATAAGCAAAACTGGTTTTAAATGAAAATTTGTTTTTCTAATTTCTAAGAAGTTTCAACTAAAAATCATCTCAATATTCATATTCAAATGTAGCTCTTTTCGAATTTTATAATTATATTTCAAACGGTAACAGCTCTGTATTACGATATTTTTAAACAAAATTTGATATTTTTTGAAATTTTGAATTTGCAATTTTCTGTTTGAACATAGAAAACAGGCTTCATTTAAAAGTTTGTTTAAAACAGAATTCGTTATTTTTAATCACATTATTACAACTTCATATTAATACTTGAACTCTTAATATATAATTAAAATGTCTTTATGTAAAACTTTTTTGAATAAAAAGTTGTTGCATTGATACTTGCTTGTATTAATTATAGTTAAAGTTAATTTATTCGATCAGTAATTAGGAGAGTGCATATTTAGCTGTAATTTATAATACAGGAAATCCTCGTATATTCGAACATTATGAGCACGTCCAAAATTTGCCTTATTTTTTGACAGATAAACATTGTCGTGTTTTAGTAATTTTTTTTCTTTATAACCCATTTTTTATATCTGATACGAAAACATTTTGTGCAATAAATCAATTTAAATTTTTTGGATTGCAATTTAAAAACATCGTAGACAAATAAATTCTCACTGTTCTCTATCTTAATCTTGAAAACGGTGTCAGATACTATAGATCCAAGTCAAGACCAGATATGAGAAGCTTAGTGGCAGAAGAATCCCATAAACTATAATCGGATTCTTCTTCACGTCATTTTAATTGAAAAATTTTATCCACAACGAAGTCAGTCAGACGACCAGCAGGAGTCGATTGTTATCTGGAAAAATATGATGCACAGCAACAAGACGCTACTAAAATCGAGAGCATATATTTTAAATTGATTAAAAATTGCAACTAGACATTGTGACAATAATTTTTGCTTGTCTTTATTAATTAATATATTAGCAAATGAGCCCGGCGTTGATCGGGCAAAAAGTAACGATAGCAAAAATTAAGAATATTAGATTATAGCAGGTCTTATCCATTTTCGCCAGATGCAAGAATTAGGTTCTTCCTTTTCGGAGAATGACTGGAGAATTTTAGATGAATCTGAAAATATGTTCGGTTTCCTGCAAAAACGCAAAAAACCGCATCTAAAATAGTGCAGGAGTCAATCGTTCAATATAGAAACAACCCATCATTAACAAGAAATTTATTTAACATCTAACTATCGGAAAGGGGCCGTAAATAAATTACGTAAGGTATTTTGGGTGGGTGGGGGGGGGTCAAGGATTTCTTACTCGTGTAAGGGGGTAATAGATCTCGTCTTACATAATATTCTTATTTTTATTTTTTGATCTCGTTGAGTGGTGGAGTTTTGAATTTGGCATCAATATGGCCGTTTCTATTAAGAACGCTCGTTGTACAGGTACTGAAGCCATCTCGTGTGACGTGATAAAATAATAAATGCGTAGAGCGTGAGTTTGCTAGCGTTTTTTCGTGGGAGAAAGGCCGTGTGGTGGTTTTTCTCTCTCTCTTTTTTTTTTATATCTGAAAAAAGTATATTGAATGAAATTATGTATTAATTCTGTATAAATGTTGTTAGTGTATCATAAAATTAAATGCATACCAATATTGGATCCACATATGCAATAAGGAGTCAACCAACATTTTCTTGTAAGATGATATTTTGTGATATTCTGAATCAAAGTAAAAAATGTTGGTTGATTCCTTATGGCATATGCTCACAGCATAATTCATTTTCTGTAATGAATTATTAATTCGATATAACAATACAATAAATATCAAAAGTAACTTTTTAATTGCTAGATGTATTTTGATAGATAAGAAATGCAATATTTACCAATTGAACATTAAGAGAGTGATATTTTTTTCTTTTAACATATATATGTTCTGGATAATTAATATCCTCCACAGGTGGTGATACAATTGCTAAATGACAACAATCAATTGCCCCTATTACACCGCGGAAAGTGTATTTTTCATAAAATCTAAAATGAAGAATGTACAATTTATTATTATTATTATTAAGAATGCCACAATATTGTTAATTCACTTACTGCTGTTTCAATTGTGCATGATCTTGTATATTGAATGGCATTTACTGACTTCTGGCTAATACTTAGAGTAAAATCTTGGCCTATTCCTAACTGGTAGGAACCACAGACAAAAAAATCTTACAGCTGCCAAAACCTAACGACTAACGAACAGTAATAGAATACATGATAAATAAAACAGAATCAAACTTATTTATAAATGCTAGCAATAATTCATTCAGAATAAAAAATACTATTACACAATACTCTTAATATAAATTTAAAAAAATACATTAAGATTTTAATTCTAAAAGTTTTAATTATTTTACTAAAATTAACAATGTTTACAATTTATAGTATGCAGTTTTTACTCGTGCAATTATTACTAGAGGAAGATATTTTAAATATGCATATTGTAATATCATTTAAACTTAATAATTGATTATTTAGCACATTCATATATCTTTATTGTATTATAATAAATTAAACTTACTCTAGTTTGAACACTTAATGCCGATCTTCTAGTCTGTTCTTTCAGTGTCGGTCGAAGTATATTTATTAAATTTGATGCCACTTCCTTCGAAAGCCTAAATAATCTTCTAAAATGTTCTTCGTAAAGATCAAAGGCATCTACTCGTGGTCGAAAAATTCGTTGCCTTCTCAAACAACATCTTTCGGCTCTTTCTAACTCTTCGATAGCAATAAGAATTGCGTATCCGTCAGCCATTTTCACTTTCGTGTAGCGATCTCACATGCTCGACTCAACGTGAGTAGCAACACGCATGGTGAGATAGGAAAGCACGTGAGTTAGAACTCGAGACTACCAATTAGACGTCAGTGTGTGAGATGGTACCACGTGACACCTTCAACACGTTGGGAGTTGTAACACAAAAAACTCGAGACTAAGGCCCAGGAGAGAAAAAAAAAAAAGATCACTAACATTGAGTAATAATTTCAATACAGTAATACCCCGACTTACGCGATTTTCAAATCTCGTCGATTCGTCTTTTGTTTGAGCGCCACGCACTCTTGATTACTCACTCCACTCACACTATTGTTCAGCTTACATGTTCGGACGTATCGTGAGGAATCGGCACATAGCTACAATTTATTTTGTGTTATTTATTTCTGTGTTTCTTATTTCTACGGAGACTTGAGAGACTCTATGTGGTGATTTCTTGTAAACCTTGGTATATAGTTAATCGGTAAAATCACGCAACTTCCTATCTGAACTGGAAGTTACCTGGTTTTTTAATATAAAAAGTTAAAATAAAATCCCGTAACAGATGATGCTACACACAATTTTAATTTTCTTGCCTGGAAAGTTTCTCCTAGCCATCATCAGCGATCAAATTCTTCCGCTCGCCCCCTTATTCCCATTTTTAATTCGCTACAACTGATTCAATTTCTACTAAAATATTAATATTGTTTGTGAATTTCAAATATCCTAAAATTAAGTAACCAAAAGTGATTCTTTATAAAAACTTTATTATTGTTTTTATTTTGCAGAAAATTGATTTGTTTACATAGTTTATACTTATCTGATACAACTATATGAAGAACATTCAACACTAGAAAATGGAGGAAGTTTCAAAGCAGACATACAAACATTTTGAACTGGAGAATGAACTTTTATTTGGCGCATGTGTGTGTCACGTCCATTTTGATGATTTGATAAAACTGCAATTTGAACTAAAAAAGTCCTAATAGGTTTATCGTTAGAATCACGTAACAATATGAGAACCCAGCCACTTGGCTCATTTAATTCCACTACTTCTACTTCTTGAAGATCATGAAAGTGACTTCCGGCTCTAATTGATATCCTGTTTTAAAATTAATCCATATGAAAATTTTCTAAGCAAAAATAAAAATATACACATTGTACTATTACTTTTCTTCTTTATAAAAATACATATAAAATATAATGTTTGCCATACAGATACTGTTCTGATGCATATTAATATCTGTTGAAATTTTTTTAAAAGTTATCATTAATACATAGCAGGGTTATAATTAACACAATTCTATTGAAATTCATATAAAATCTATATCTATATAAGTTAAAGATGTAAGAATTCACAAGTAAGGTGTACACAGTACAGTATGTGTTTGAAAAATGTTACTTTATTTTTTAAAAATTACAATATATATATATTGTGTGCCTAATTCAAGTAATTCAAAATTATGCTCATACAAATCACACCCCAATTCAGCAACTTCTCAATAATAAAACAATATGCATTGCATTAAATTATTATCCAGCATATCATCTTTAAATTTTAAGGCACTTGCTGAAGAAAATACTTATGTATTTCCTGGAACATCATGCTAGAAACCACAACTCTACACCAAGAAAAAGAAACAGATGATGTGTCTTTATATTACAAATCAAACAATACAGCTAAGTTTGAATAGAACTGTTTACTTGGTTGATACTATGCTTCCTGATTTGTGTGTACACATAAATCAGGAAACAGACATTTGTTACATCATGCATAGCATAAATGCCAATGGATGATTGAATATAATGCCTTCATTAGCATATGTTTCTTTGTTTTAATTCCTCATATTGTGACAGCAAAAGGATGTATATGTGTGTTTGAATGCTGAATCTATTTTTATTTGTGCTGTTTCAACCATGCTTATTTCACTATGATCATTATTTGGTCTGCAGCATGGTTAACAAATCGTTCAAAAAAGTCATTTATCTTTAATTAATTATAATGTGAATTAATTTTTGCCATTTAGTGAATTTACAAGGTGCCCATCTTCCTGAAATGCAAAACTAGTGTAAATTAAAAACCTGTATGTAATATCGTATTTACTCATGTATAAGACTATCTCGCATATAGGACAAGGTGTAACTTTAAAGATCAAAATAAAGAAAATTAGATTTATTAATACAATTCTAATTTTATTTTGTTTAATCAAAATAAAATATCAAATGCATGTAAATGCACACATTGTCCTGCAAAAATTATAGGCATTTAAATTTTAAGAAAAAATCTTGTAAAATTGACAACATAATTTGTTCATGTAAAGCCTGAACAATTGGGAACCATTTTTGCCAGTTCTTAACAGTCGAATCCACTCTCTGTCAATTACACTTATGAGTTTCTCTGAATTTGGATTTCCGAATAATCATCTGTTTTTTTTTATGTGGGAATGGGTTGAAACTTATAACGGGCTCCCATATGATTTTGGAATTTCAATTTAAAATTAAATTCAAAATCTTTGCTTTTCCTATTGTTATTCATATTTACTCCTGACAATACACAAGAACAATTAAAACGACCCAAATAAAATACTTTTGTTTTTAAACACCAGGGGGTGAGCATCCAGTAAAAAGTGCCAATACACAGTTCACAAAAGTTATTGCAAAAATGCAAAGAATCCTTTGCTCATGCGTATAGGATGACCTAGGTTTTTGAAGCAGTGAAAAATAAATAAAAACCTTATCTTATATGCAAGTAAATATGGTTTATTCAACAACATTCTCATTTATAACTAAATAACAATAACTAAAATTATATACAGAATTTTACATTCAAATACATTCTATATTAGTTAATTCTAAATTTTTATCAAAAGACCCATAAAAAAAGGCTGAGACTCAGGTTAAAATTTAGTGTTTTTGAATACTTTAACAACAGATGAAAAACTATATGTATCAATGTGGTTGAAGATGATTATAGTTGCAATAATGAAAAATTCAAAAAAGATAAGTACGGGTATCTTCATATAATACAGCACTTCTACAACACGATTCAAAAATTAAAAATATCCCTCATACAACACAGTTGGGAAATCCTCAATAAAAATTTCACAATCTTTAAGTGTAAACTACGTTATTCTATTTTTTTTTTTTATTCAAGTAAGCATGTGCGTTGTCTGAAATTTGCCAACAGATTTTACAATTTTGAAATTTTTAATTTGTTTTGTACCTTTCATTAGGTTTACTTTAATTAATGAAAACTGATAAGCTAGGACAAGGAAAAAAAATTTACTATCAACCAGGTGTCATTGTCGTTGCTTTCAGACTTTAACACTTAAGACTGTCATTGTGTTTTGTTTTTATACATTAATTTTCATATTTAGTAAAGTTTATTTAAACATTTTTAGGTAAGTGTTATTAAACTTTTTTTAATCATTTGTAAAAATGACAAATAAAATACAGCAGTATCTCAGTACTTGAAATGTTCCCAACTCGAACAATTTGGTATTCAAGCACAAATGCTAAGGAGGGGGGAAAAAATCACTCATTACTTGACTGAACAAATGAGACCCACCAAAATAAATTTTCAATTAATAACATATTTTTATTTTGTCATATATAAAAAATTTTTATGGTAAAAATTAAAAATAATGAAGATGTTGCTGATATTTCTGATCAAGAACAAAAAAGCTCAGAAGAGAACAATACTTTGTAAAAATAAAATGCCCTCATTTAACTAAAATTAATATTAAACAGTACTTTTAATTGTGCTTGTTAGTTAATTGATTGGAAATAAAGTATCGATTTTTTTAATAAACATATTTCTCTTAGTAATGAAAAAGAATAGTATACTTTTGCTAACTTCTGAAACGTAACCCTATGTTTTACATTAAATACTTTGTTTGATACAGCATGGATTCGCATAACATGGCACTTTTTCGGAACATATCTACCATGCTATATGAGGGATACCTGTACTTTCAGTTTTGATAGTGATGAAATGCTATTCTGACATTACAGTTGCAAAAAGTATATTTTAAATTATTATCTAGAGGTAGAAATCAGAGTAGGACCTGAAATTTGGGTGCTTGGTCTTTAACTCCACAGCCCTGCTCTAGTCATAAAACCATGTTTACAAACTTGTAAGACCAATCTTATCATATAGTGTTTTCTTCAGAATTTCTATTTCTTCATCTAGGTGGCAGCTTCTGCAAAAGATTTGTTTCTTCTGAGACAAGTCCTATATCTTCTTTCTTATAAGAAGATATAGGATTTACCTTCCTTTCTTTTCTCCCGCTTTATTCTTTATTCTCTATACAACTTACTGAATTTCCTTTCAGATATGCAGTACAGATATAGTGTGATTACCTTATTCCTGTTTGTTGAATGCCACCAAGATTCATCATATGTCTTGCAAACATCGCCATGAAAATGTGCTCATTTACAATGCCTGACAGACATTCAACATCTTAAAATAACTGATTTTTACTAGTGATGGGACAATTAATCAGAATCAGGAAAACTGGGCATTTTTTGGGTATCAGAATTAAGCAAATCTTGTCACGATTTCCAATTCTTAAAATGATTCTTCCACATTTAACAAGAAAATTAATTATTTGTTTCAGTTGAAGATTAAAAATTTTTAAAGTCACTAATTATTAGTTTTATTGCAAACTTTCACATTGACAAAGCACAGAGTACATGACACCCCATACACAAGATAATGTCTGTTATGGCAAACTTTTCTTTTGTGTAGTTAAAAAGATGAAAGATTGCAATTGGTTGGTACTAATTGTCCTCATTTTAGGGAAGATAGGGTGACATTACAGTTGCCACCCAGCTAGCATTGAATCAGCTTGACCATCAATTTCAAATCAAGGCTGATGATCAACAAAAATATTTAAGTGCAGGCAAAATAATTTAAAGTATAAACAAAATCATATTTTAATTGAAACAATATTATATAAAATTATTTTTTATATTTAGTATGATTACTTATAATAAATGCTTGAACACCTTAGTCCTTTAAATAAATTAAATATTTTTTTCACCAATACAAAGTGTTGCTGAAAAAAGTATTCAATTTATTTAAAAGAAAGTTTTTGACCGCTTTTCATAGGTCTGCATTAGATTTAACAAGATTCAAACTGTCTTCTTAAACAGTTCAAATCTTCTTGTTAAAGCTATGCAAGGTCATGAAAACAGGTCAAAAACTTTTATTTAAATAAATTAAAATGTTGCTGAAAAAGTTATTTAAGGTGTTGTTAAAGCTAAATTAGTTTCAGCTTATACAGAAATGTTTTTGTTATGATTTACAGATGATACTGTGAATCATAACAAATGTGATTTGCAAAATTCTCAGTAAATATAATTGTTTGCAATAAGTTTACTGACATTTTAAGTTTTAAAAATTGATTTTTTTAAGATAAGACAGTCCAGATATTCATCACTCAAGTGGATGAATTCAAAAATTGGTTAACTTGTGTTGATGATGATATTTGTTTGTCATGTTGCATCATTTGCTGAACCTAATTTAGTGTTAAATATGATAGAATTAAAGCATTTACATGGCATGCTGATTGCAGAAAGCATTAAAATAAAAAACGCCTCCTTATATACCTTCCCCTTCTTCCCAGTCATTGCATCAGCCAACAAAGCAGTTTACAAAAATGGCAACCCTAAGTGATATGATTGGATAGTTCATTGATTAAAAGGGAATTAGCTGTAATTTCTTTGATGGTAGTGTTACAATATTAACTTTATCTGAAATAAGATTATAAATTTGTTTTCTGGTACACAATAAAAGTATGCATATCCACATATGCATGGAGAATTTTTGAGTTTCTTTTGAAAGATTGATTCTGGATTTCCCAATTGTTTTCCATTCTCAAGCTCTTTGATGTTTATTAATTAATGAATGTACTATGTTTGTCATGTAAATCAAGTTTCCTAAACAAAAATAAACTTTCAGAAACTATTCAAAAGAATCAGAATAGGGAAAATTTTGGTATTGTCCCATCACTAATTTTAACATAACTTTAACTGACCATTTTTAAAAAACCTGACATTTAATATAAATATAAATTAAATATTTTTTTCACCAATGCAAAGTGTTACTGAAAAGAGTATTCAATTTATTTAAAGGAAAATTTTTGACCCCTTTTCATACCTGACTTATCTAACCCAGTAGACAATAGACACCCTGTATATTATTCTCTTTAAAAAGTTATAAAATATCATTAAAATTAATTAAATATACCTGTTTGGTGTATAACTTTCATCCAATTTGTAATCAGCATAAATGCAAACATCTTGAATAGTTGTTTTTCGACGAAATTGAACATTGACTAAATGTGGTTGTGGTCCATCAGATTGCCAATATGTTTCCAAACAATTATCTCTTAATTGTTCAACACCAAAACCTAATAAAACAAATTATTTATATAAATTTTTATTTTTATTTTATTTATATAAACTATATTTTACAAAATAAAGATAATTGTATATCGGATTTATCATTCAAAATATAATAAAGCTAACAAAAGTTTGACTTCTTGAGAGTCAAGTCAAATCAAAGCCAAGTAGAATTCATTTTTGTTTTGATCTGACCCTTATAAACTCAATGTATTTAGGTCTCTAAGTCAAAATGGTGAGTGTGCATTTAACTAACTTGAAATTCAGGGTTCCAATGAATTTATTTTATGTCTAATTTTGTGTTCTTTCTGATGCAGTGTCACATTCAGCCATAGTCAAATGTACCAGCAATTTGAACACAGTTACACAAACTTGACAGATATTGATTGGCAAGGAAGGCCATCAATGCTAATCATGGATGATGATGTGATGATGTTTGTTGAAATGATTCATAACTATCACAGAGTGATTGTCTCAGAGATTGCACAGGAGTTAGGTATTTCCAACATCCATTTTCATTATTGTAAATTGTGTTCAAGATAGATTCCTTGTTCATTGACATCTGAACATGAAAGGAAAAAGGTTTTAGTCTTCTCTAGACTTTGTTCAACAGTATTCTGTAGAAGGCAATGATTTCTTAAGCTTCATGATTACAGGCAACAAAACATGGGTGCATTATTTCACCCCAGAAATGAAGAGAGCAACAGCTGAATGGTAACACATACATCATTGCCTATTCAGATAAAGTTCAAACTTACATCACCAGCAGGAAAGGTCATGGCCATTGTCTTCTTCAACTGTAAAGGAGTTGTTTACATGGAGTTCATGCAAAACCATTAATGCTGAATCATACCGCCAAACTGAATCTTTGTGCAAGGTCATCAAAAACAAGAGGCATGGCAAGTTAAACAAAGTCATTGTTCCCATTCACAATTCAATGCCACACAAGGTACAATGCAAGCTTTACTACAAAGTTTTGGACAGTAGATATGGCTGCATCTGCTGTATAGTCCAGATCTGTTGCTTTATGACTTTAATGTGTTCAGCAAGCTGAAATATTATCTAGGTGTCAATGATTTGCTAACAACGAACAGGTGCAAACAGTAGTCCTATGATGACTCCATGACCAAAGAGTGTATTTCTATTGTCAGGGAATTCAACATTTAGTTTCATGTTCAGACAAATGTTTACAGAAACTGGAGAATCGTGTGGAGAAATAGTATAAAGTATCTGTGCCACATTCTATTGTAAAGTGCAATAAAATTTTTTGACATACAATAGGCATAATATACTCATTAATTATATAATATACTCAATATGTGTAATTTACTTTTTGAATCTCCTTTGTACATATCAAATACTGAATGAAATATAATGTTACAATTACTTTCATAGTAATTACAGATTATAAGAGTAAGGAAGAAAAATGATAAATAGCAAGAATTACTTAGCAGATTTAATGGTCATTATAAAAAATTTGAATTCATTCATTAAAACTTTAGTTATCAATTTTTAGATATAATGCATTAATTATGCAATCGTACTTAAATGATCTTATTATTATTTTTATTCTTTAATTAATTATCTATCAAGTAAATTTTGTTTGTATATTTATCATCTCTACTATTTTCCTAAGATAAATATACCTTATATATCGAAAATATTCCAAAATACATACTAACAATCTATTATTTTTGTTATTGAATGTCATTTGAATATACAATTATTAATTGGTTATGCATTTCCAGGCAGTAATCTTGTCAATATTTGAAATTCTATTTTCTTTCTCCAGATATCATTCAATGCTAATATGTTAGATTTAATATATTTGATAGAATGTAGCAAAAAAATTGCTTTAAATTATGTTATATGAAAATAAATTTTTAAATTTTATGATGATAATCATGTGATCTTCAGAACCTTAGGGCTCATCCAGGGCATTAAATTTACAACAAAAATTATCTACACTCAAGTGTACTAGTAAAACAAAGTATATATTGTCATTTTTAAAAAAGTCTATTGTATTCATTTTTAAATAAATTTATTTAAAAATTTTAAAAATTGGTATGCTTTTATTTGTAATCATTTTTACTATGGGTTTTATACAAATCAAATTTAATGTAAAAGACAGTGGGGCTAAAGAAAATGAGTTTATAATTGATTTCTTTATAGTAATGATGATTTATTTTGTAAGTAATTATTGCTTGTTTAGTATAGTTGACTAAATTCATTAAAATTTTATTATATTTATAAATTGATAACTTCATTCAAGAAAAATCTGAAAATAGCTTAAATTCTACGTCACCTGGTTTGCAAGACGACAACGACCAAACAGCTTGGCATCCCACTTCCCTTACTTTTCCTTCTCGTTCTTCTTTTTGAGGATCAACACTTTCCCCAGTTCTTACATTAACATTAGCCATAATTTATCTATATCACGTCAACTCTAGTTTTTAGATACAAAAATCAAAAGATTACAAAATACCCTCTCTTTTTGTTGAATTTTTTCCAGCGCATGTTTACGTGTGTTCAATATTTCATTTGTAGTGGATAAATTTCAAATTTAAATAGCGCCCTCTAATTAGTTGTTAAATTTTAAAATTTATTAAATTCGTTTTATTATTATTTTTAAAAAATGAAGTTAATTATAATGTTTCAATGTTTAATCGTTTAATTATTATTTTAACATATTTTTGTTTCAGATCTGCGGACACTAAGAGAGTTATTATTTCTAGGGTTGCCAACTATCCCACATTGTGCGGCTGTCATGCATTTTCAATGAAATCCCGCAACACGCGAAGACATGTGAAAATTCCGCAGAATATTTTTAAACGATACTATTTTAAAAATTTATAAAAGCATATTCATTAAAAAATAAAATACGTGTAATTGTAATTTTTTTAAAAACTCTTTCCGCCTTGTATGCACTAAGAGGACCTCTTTTAGAAAACTCATTATGGGTTAGGTCAGGCCCACAATAGGTGAGGGACGGAGCCAGACCACCCTCGAAAAGACCCGTCCGGAATCGATACCGGGTTTCCCAGAACGATATGCTGCCACCTTGACCGCTCGGCCATTCGGCCTCTATTATTTTTTACCTCTTTATATACATATACTAGCTGTTACCCGCGTCTTCGCCCGCGGGGATTTTGCAAGCAAACCCCATTTGTATTCAGTATTTCAACGACCATAGTAATTGTTATATAACACCTACCGCCGAGAATGGTGAGAATTGCTGAGAATCAAACGAACTATTTTCAATTTTATCAATTTTCTGGAACGTTTACAATCGTTCTATAATCGAACCAATATGCAATAACAAATTCAAATTTAGAACGGTTCGAACATTTGGTTAAAAAATCGAAATATATAAAAAAATATTTATAACAATGTCTGAAATGTTATCAATTTAATACCCCTAAGTACTCAATGAAGACTAGACGTAATTAAAAACAAAGGAAGCCGTAGAAGCCGTTCTTCAGGTTAAGCCTTAATGCTCTCCTTCTCTTCCTCGTGGGGGAATTTCGAAAAATCCTTTCTTAGTGTACGTTTTTACGACATAATCTACTAAAACGCAGTTAAAAACAAAAAACCGCATCTAAAATAGTACAGTAGAAGCCGTTCTTCAGGTTAAGCCTTAATCCTCTCTCTCTCCCCCCGCGGGGGATTTCCAAAAATCCCTTAGTGTGTATTTTCATGACGTACAGTACTCTGTGTACCAAATTTCACCTCTAGGTTCAGCGGTTTGCTCTGGGCGAAGATGAATCAGCCAATCAATCAGGACAAGTAATTTTATATACAGTATTTAGATAACCATGTAAATTTATCCTATTTTAATAAAAGGTTTTCAATCTGGACAATGGACACGTGATAGATCGACAAGCGAAGTTTGCTTAATCAATCACTGATCACGTAAAACATTGTTGAAGGATCTGCTGATATTTTTTCATGCATTTATTGTTCCATCGATAGAATGCAGTGCTGACAACCTTTAACACTCATGAGCCCATTACCATAATGCTTGCTGAGAACTTGGTTGTACAATTTAGGCACTCAATTTTTTTTTTTTTTTTTTTTTTTGGATTACCTTATTACTTCCGATAAAAATCGAAATCTTGACTTCATTGCTGAAAATTATGCTGTTCCGCTGCTGCCACACCCATTTTAAATGTTCTTTTATCCACTTAAAGTGTCTAATGAGAAAAAATTTACTAAAATGGTTTTTCTTTAGCTTGAAAAGAAAAATCCCTCGTTGACACTAACCGTTACATTCTCGTGTTGACATATTGAATTATTTTACTTGATAAAATTTGGCCATGACAAGTTTCTTTAACTTTTTTACTAGTGGCTGCATTCCAATTAGGCTGTGTACACACTAGGCGTTTTGCGTTGCGTTAAACGCGCGTTAGCAGCGTAAACACCAGGCGTTAGCTCGGCGTTAGACGAGCGTTTAGTGGAGCATATACACTGGCTCAGTTTGGAAATGGACGTGAAAATAATTGCTTGTGTGCCCCTCCTCCATCGTCGCTATAAAAGACGATGGCAGAGGCAAAGAGAATTTTGGGTGCACCCAATATTACGAGATAGACTGACGCATGGAATGTTTGCGACGTTGTATCCAAAACTAAGACAAAATAAACCCAAGTTTTTTAATTCTTTTAAAATATCTATAAAATCCTTTGACAATGGTTGGTCTCTTAGATTTCATCAATAAATAGATCAGTATCGAAATGATCGTTTTCCATTTCGGCCAACGTACTGTACGTCCACTCTACCCAAAAACGCGCGATCGAATGTACAGTAACATGGCAGCACATATATCTCAAAGCGCTCGGCTGACGCCCGCAAAACGCGCGTTTTAAGAAAAATCTATAAACGCGCGCTTGGCGAAAAGCACGCGTTTGAGTGTGTACGCCTATGCAGAACTCTTGGTTCGTCAAACGCGCGTTTAAAAACGCGTAGTGTGTACGCAGCCTTACTCATCAATCATTCAAGTTAAAGTTAAAATTTTCGGTTGCCCTGTAAGTTTTCCTAGATCAATGCTAGTTTTCTTGTAGACTGCCAGCCGTAGTTTTTAATATCTATTTTGGGAACTCAAAACGCTTTGATTCGACAAAATTCATTTAAATATATAATTATATAAGAAAGTGTTATTTGAAATAAAACTCGCAATCCTTAAACAGTTTACATATTTTCAGTCATCAAGAGTTAGCAACTAATAATTTTCATTCAATTATAGCCGTAGCAATATTTCAACGTAAACATATCTTCGAAGAAAATTTTATTTAAAACTTTTTTCAAATATGGAATATTCAATTTTTAACGTCTCTTTAATTATTCAATGAATTAACAATACAAATTAAAACTAAGCCGTTCAAACTTAAATTCGTGTCTTTACAATGTAAGTAAAAACATTACATTGTAAAACTACATTTTAATAAGAATAAAAATAATCGAAATACAGCAGCAGCAAAGTAATTGAATTAAAATTATTAATCCGCCATATTTAGTCCTATGTCAACAATCATTAATAATAGTGACGTATTGTTATATTATACCGAATAAATCTATATTGTAAAATAGGATTGTGGGTACGATGAATTATGAATGCTATAAACAGGACCAAACATGGCTGCGTTCTGCTCGTATTGTATACCTGTTACTTCGTATTGTTATATCTAATCTAGTATTAATAACAGATTTGATTCACGTAAGCTTGCTAAAATCCTCAGATCTTAATTTTTGGAAATTTACTATATATTTCCAAATTAGAATTTATGCATTTAGAGATTATGAAAAGAATTTTTTTTTATTTCTTTTTATAATTATACTAGCTGCAAGATCCCGCTTCGCTGGGTTTTTATTTGTATGTAATAGTATAGTTTTTTATATATATATAAAAGACTGTTTTTCTAAGTAATCTAGAATCTAGCTGCAAGGACCCGCTTCGCTGGGCAAAAAGTAACGATAGTGAAGATTAAGATAATTACATTATAGCTAATCTTACCCGTTTTCACAAAATGCAAGAATTAGGTCCCCCGTTTCCAGACTAATTAAAGAATTTTTACGTTTAGTCAAACGAACTATTTTCAACGTTTCTGGAACGTTTTCAATCGTTCTATAATCGAACCAATTCGAATTTTATGTTCGAATTTAATTCGAACAAATTCGAAAAAATCGAACAAAACATTCGAAATAGAATGCCACTTTCAACCACTTTCAGCCTCATATCTCCCGCACCCTTACAGCTATCGAGACGCAACCACCCCTATGCACGAATGGAGACTTGGGGCTACCACCACATACAAACACCATTCACGTGCGATGTGTAGTTTTGGCGAAAAAGTGAAATATAGGGACATACATGTCCATTTATATATATATATATATATAGATATATAGATTAATATAATACACTAAACAAATTATAGTACTGTATAACAAATTTTATTGTAACATTTATAAACATCAAACTTTACAGGAAGTTTGTAAAAATACATTAAAAAAATATACAACACTGTTTATAAAGTAACAAATATACAAGAATAAAATAGCTTAAATAGAAAAGAATATGTACAACATAAAAAAAAAACAGTTTATAGCCGTTTCAGTTTTCGTTTTGACTGTTTGCTACCTATGGAATGAGTTTTATTTATGGGTTTCACTTTTGTTTTGCAGGGAATCTGCTTATGAAATTCATTTAGGCAAACAGTACAAAAATCAAAAGAACAATACAAATCTGAACATATGCCTCTTTGTTCAATACTAATAACTCTGGATGGGGAACCACATCTGGGACAAATCTGTAATCTTTCTCCAGGATTACATTTATTTGCTTCCTAAGAGGAGGAGGAGGAAAAGAAATCAATAATAATAATAATAATTACAATTACCATCACTTATTTTCAGTCTTACCTCTCTAAATAACTGATATCTTGATTTTGGCCAAGGAGCAGTTTTCTTTTCTTGCATCCCTGGTACATCTTCCTTTGAGATCGTATTTTGTACATTGACAAAAGGAATTCTCCGAGAAAGTTTATCAAAAGTAGGAGTTTTGAAGAGAGTTAAATTTTCCTTTAAAAACAAGTTAGATTTTTAAATAAATGCAAATTTATATATAAAAATTTTTAATATAAAACAAAGCAATTATTTATTGGCATTGTCACAATGTCAGGCTGCAATTTTTAATCATATTTTAAAGTTATTTCATTTAAAATATATGCACTCCACCACAAATTAGTAGTGGCTTGCCCCTATACATCATACTTTTCCTGTAACAATAGAGTCATGCCTGTCATTGAACACTTTCCAGGGGAAAATTTTTGAATTGAAATAACATCAGATTTGCATCAGAAGTTAATTGGGGCCTCCTGCCCCTAGTGTTTTCATATCTTGGTTTTGGTTTTTTATCCATCTAACTCCATTCTTGAGACAAGTGGGAATGTATAAGTCTATAAGTAAATTTTCAAATTGCAGCCCAATTACTAATTTAAAATAAGATTTATACTTAGATACTTTTAATCTCTAAAAAAATCTTTAACAAAAATATACAGTAAAACCTGTGTAAAACTGGACTTGCTTGGCACCTACTATTTTTTCCAGTTTGGCAGGTTTCTGTTTTAAACATTTTTTTTTTAAACAAAATCACTGCATTCTACAGAATTTTTCCTATTAGGCAGGTTTCCATCTTATTAAAATATCATTCTGGACAGGTTTTACTGTATTACTGACAGGTATAAAATAATATTATGTATGCATGTATAACATTTTAATATTACTTAATTATTTAGTAAATACAGTCATTTAAAAATTCTTTAAAATACTGTCACTTTCAAAATATTACTTTTAAATAATTTTTTATAATTATAGCATATGAACGTGAGTGTGTCTTAGGTTGGTAGAAAAAAAAAACTTTCTTAAAAGGGGTCAATACATGAAAAAGGTAGGGAACACCTGGCCTAGATGGTTCAGAGATGAATAAGTTAAATTCTCAAAACATAATATAAATTAAATTGGGATACCCAATATAAAAATCAAAATTTGACATTTTACAAGTATCTTAATTTACATGTACTATACATATTCATGCATTGATATCCAGTAAAAATGGAAATATTAATTTTACCAAATTTTTGAAATGACAAAACAGGATAAATAGTTACATTTTATCAGGAAAAAACCATTTGATGTTTTGAATACTTATTTCAGTAAAATTAGTTAATAACTGTAATGAAAAAAGATAAAATTTATGATATAACTAGTGCATTGAATATTGAATTTAAATTTAATTTCCTTGCTAACATAAGGATTGAATGGGTCAAAAAATAAATAAATAAAAATTGAAATGTTAAACTTTATGTTCATTTTAGAAATAATGATGGAACATTGTACATTACCTAAATAACTTTTAAAGGGGTATTTTAATGGCAACCATTAGTAGTATAGAAACAGAATGCAAAATTAATCAATCCGGTACATCTACATTGCAATATCAAAACTAAAGCCACAAAATACATTTCACAAAAATTTCCAGCCTATTATTTGGTGTGATCCAAAAGTAATGAGAAACTTTTTAATTTTCATAAATGAATGTTATATCTAAAAGTAATTGACCTGTGCATTCAAGCATTTATCCCATGTAATAGGTAGACAAGGGCCGTGTTCAGTAACGTAGAACACCTAAGTTAGAATTCTGAGTGGCTTAGTGGGCAGAGCTAAGAATGTTCTGAGCATCATTGAATGATTATTCTTAGTTAGACAATCAGGAAAAATGATGGATGAAGTAACCAGTACAATTATTCAGATGGAAGCTGAGTCAGATTGTGATGAAATTAATGAAGCAATTATAAATTGTAATCAACGAAATGGACTGATATCTTCCATTAAAATGTATTTGGAATCTGTTATATCGACATATGATAATTTTACATTCTGAAGTAATTTTAGAATGAGTTAATGATTTAGAATGAGAGAATAACTTTGTGATTGTTGTTATAAAATACATTTAGTCCAACACGAGCAGCTATCTTGCAAATCATACGATGAGACAAAAGCAATGATGTCACTAGTAGAAGTTAACGTAGATAAGAGAAGCTGACTGAACTAGTTAGAATTCTAGCAGTGGGAGGAGTCAAGCAGTAGTTAGAAACGAGTTCAACATTGCAGCATAACTAGACTTAACAAGAATTCTGTGTTACTGAACACAGCCCAGAACATTCGCTGACTGCTTGCTTCACTGCATTGTCCAACACAAATTTCTTTCCCTTCATTGCTTCCTTTAGCAGCCCAAAAAACAAAAGTTGCAGTGCATCAGTAGTACAGAGGATGTTACATGACTTCACTACTCATGTAACTTGGAGCATGCATTGTTGTACAGGAGGATAATACGCTTGCTCAGCTTCTCTGACCTTTTTGACTTCATTGCTTTGCAAAGCTAGAGGGTTGTGCAGTTATGTGCAGCATTGATAGTTTCATCTTTGTCAATAAGGAGAGAACCTTCATCAAGAGAAGTCAATAAGGAGAGAACCTTCATCAAGAGAGTTAGAATTGTCTGTGAATCCATTTGAATTCAGACATTTTTTGATAGAACAAGGGTGCTTCCATTCCAGAGCACTTTGCCTACTCTATCTAATGCAGATGCAACAACTCTTCTCCTGTGACAAAGTATAGAATAGACAAGCTCTTCCTGTGAGACATTCAGCCATTTCATCTTTTGAGCATCTACCAGCTCATGAGTCACCTACTACATACACCTTCCAGTTGTTACTTCATGGCCTTCTGGACAGTTCTGAACCACAACAATACTTCCAGGCACAAACTTCAAATACTAGTACTGTACAGTGCATCCATTCATCATCNGTACCTATGTATTCAAAATAGCTGGATATATGATCAGTGATGAGGATAGTGTAGATGCCTGGTTGGAGGTATGGTCTGGACAGTCTTTAGACTGTACTACATACACCTTCCAGTTGTTACTTCATGGCCTTCTGGACAGTTCTGAACCACAACAATACTTCCAGGCACAAACTTCAAATACTAGTACTGTACAGTACATCCATTCATCATCAAGCTTAAATATTGCATCACCCATTGCTGTTTTTGGACAACCTAAATGCTCATGATACATCATGCAATGCTTAAGTATGACAGGCATGTTTGTCCTTATACATCACACATTCATAAGGATGGTCAGCAACTGAAATTCATTTACGCAACAAGGAAATTAATGATATTGATCAGACTTTTACAGGTTTGGTATGGCTACTGCTATCTTTAGTTGCAGGATTTAATTCACAGTCACATTTAATATTAAATGTTGCTCTCATTGGCTGAATGTATGCTACATTTCCTTCCCACTATTGCATGAAACAAGTAGCATCATCTCATTACTTTTGGATCAAGATTTTATCAAATATAGAATATCTTAGGAGTAAAAATATTAGACTTACCTTTTCATTTTCTTTTATGTATTTCCTTAAATAAAGGTAATTTTCTATAATAGACCCTGCATTAGCATCATTTAAGCACACATTCTTCCAAGTCCTGCTAACCCAAGATACTTTACATAGTTCAAAAGGAGTTAAATACATTAATATTTTTGATATAACATTTAAACAATTTCTCCTGTTGCTCAGTTCATAAAAGAAATCAATGTATTTCTTGCCTATTTCTTGTCCACTTAGAGGTACTATTGTATTTAAACACTTTTCATTTGTGAAAGTTGGGCTATATGTAAGTTTTCCTGAATTTACAGACTCATCTGAAGAATAGCATTTTATATTACCCATGTTAAGACCAGTTGATGTTTTTAATCTGGGAATTGCAAATTCTAGAATTTCTGGAGATTCTGTATCATCACAGATTGTTCCATTTGTACCATAGCCACTTTCATCACTAGTACAATATGTAAGTGGTGTACTAGCTTTGTGTGCTAATAACTTCCAATTATTATTGTTTAAAACAGGAGAGTGTTTATATTCCCTTGGAGTTTCCATGTTTATATTTAACTCCTCAATTCTTAACTGTAAAGAAAAAGGTTTAAATTTAGAAAATAATTTAATATAAATTTATATTTTAAAAATCTATAATTTAGTACAAATTNCATTTTACAGTATATTATAAATGTGAACTGACCACTGCAATATAAATTTCAAAGGAATGAAAATGTAGTGGCAGACTATTAATACTTTTAACTCATGAAAATAGATTATATCTCATTATAAGTTGGCCAGGCCTGATGTAAAGACTAAAAGAGTTTTAAAAATCTATAATTTAGTACAAATTACTAAATTTTACTCATGAAAATATTACACAGCAATAACAACATTTTAGTCTGAAACTTAAGAAAACATTTCAACATTTTATTTTAATACAATGAAAATATCTTAAAAAACTAACTTCAAATTATAAAATTATTGCAACTAGGGAAAATCATCTTATATTAATTAATTTGAATCAAATTTAAAATTTTCATCCAAAACAATATCAAATATGCAACTTTTACTCAAAGCCGTATCTTAAATATTTTGTAAAATTACTAAACTAAATAAAGATGCATAACAGTAAAAGAAAACTACAAGTGTATTTTCTGATATTTTCTGATTTGAATAAAAAGCATTTCCCTAGTTATTCAAATTTCATTTGTATGAGTGTTTTCTCCCAACAGTTTGTTCATATTTGCACAATCTTAATCCTTGTATTTAGGACAGTATCAAAACTAGAAATTCTTTACACATACTTTTCTGTAAGGATTATTTCAACTTTGTATAATAAATTAATTTTAAACTAAACTTTCACAAGTATAGTCAAAAGGAAATATTTTTCTACAAAATAAACTTTCACAAGATTTAGGTTTCATTTCACACAAAAAATATTTACTCGGTTCAAATTTAAAATTCATCAGGTGATGTGAGAGAATGCACTTTTCTGCATCAAACTCAGAAACTCGTATGACAGTATATACAGGAAATCCTCATTAGTTCAAAATTCAAGGAACAAAATAATTGTGACTTTGAATTATTGAATTTCAAATTATCTGAGATTTACATATTTCTGTACAATGTGCCAAATGTAGCCCAAATTTATTTTTAAGAAGTGGCCCAAAAAGTAGTAAATTGTCCAAACGCAGTAGCTTAGATATCTCAATCTGCTATTTGTAGCCCAATCTTGCAATCCCAAAAACCCAGCCATATTTTATGAGATAAGAGGAAAAAGGTAGTCCACATGCAAGAACAAAAAAATACATCCGAAAATGCATTACTGTAAAGCAAAGCCATATGGACTAGATTAGAGTTGTTTTTGGTCTAATGTTATGTTATAACATGGAAGCATTTCAATCTAAATGAATGAGTTAATACATGTATATTACAGTTTTGGACAGAACTTTCATTTCAAATTTCGAAGTAGCCATATTTCAAACTAATTGAATTCCTTAACACGCATGTTTTTATCCTCAGCTGGGACAAAAATATGGTTACGAACTAACAGGATTTCGAATTATCCAAGTTCAAATTAACGAGATTTTCTGTAACACTACTTATTACTATTAAATAAAGGTAATCTGAATAGCATTCTTCACAAAAATATGAATGGAAAATTACTATCAAAACAAAATACAAGTGACTCCCTTTTATAAAATTTGCTTTATGTCATTTTACTTTTATTAAAAGACCTACATTAGTACCTGTTTTTCCAATCAAAAGAAACCAAAGAGAATTTTTGCCTTTACAAAAACGACAAAGTAAATGTATTTGAACTCAAAAATTTGTCAGAACTATGATATTTTTAAACTGTAAGTAATGATACCATTATTGTTTGAAAATAGGTATAGGGTATGATATAATTAATATACTGATTTCATATTATAAAAAGCATACCTTTAACAATCTAGCAAATAAAAGTTTTAATTTAGTAAATTTTTAGATCATTTTAACCGATCTTCAACTGAAGATGATCAGTTAAAACAATTGAAAACGTAATTAATATTTTGAGATAAAGTTTTTAATTTGGTAAATTTTATTTGCTGGATTGTTAAAACGCATGTTTTTTATAATATTTGGTTATCCAGTACATACATTTTATAAGCATACTGATTTCTATTTGGAATTAGTACTGAAGAGGGAACAAAAATATACATTGTTCCAAAATGAATTTGTAACAAATTAAATGCATAAAGTTGTCATTGAAAAGGCATTGGCTGTTAGAAGGGCTATATTGAAATCCTCAAACCTGTAAAGTTTACAGATTAAAAAATAAAGATAAAAAATAACATTTAGCATTGTTTTACAGCTAGCCATTTTAGTTGAAGCAATGTGTATCCAGCCAAGCAGCCAGTGGAATCACCACTCTCCCTCCCCAAGAATTACATTCGGCATCAAGCTGCAATACTTTTGAACTGTCTGTGAGCATCTGTGCTTTACATTGACTTATTTTGTGCATCCATTAATAAAATGTAGAGGCATACACTGTTAAAGTCCATATCAATGTATGGGTCAAAGGCAAGGATAGCCAATGTAGTGTTGGCCAATCCTTTCGTGGTGGAAGTCTGATGTTCCCTGAGGCAGGTGTTTAAAGGGTGCATTGTAGTACCTATGTATTCAAAATAGCTGGATATATGATCAGTGATGAGGATAGTGTAGATGCCTGGTTGGAGGTATGGTCTGGACAGTCTAAAGACTGTCCAGACCATACCTCCAACCAGGTATCTACCAATGCTAAACCATTGTGAAGGCAGGAGGAAATTTGTTTATCCTTCCACACAAGTCTCTTAAAAGTTATCTTTCTTGGATATTTCATTGTATAGGGAAGCTTGCTTCCTGTTGTAAGTGACGGTCCTATAAACCATGTCCTGGGTGTAATTTTTCCTCTGCGTTGAAAAATCTGAGGAATCTCAAAATGGATCTTGAAGTTGATGGCATCATAAACCCAAAGTCCAAAACAATCAGAAATCAATGCAAGTAGATCACATGGTCACTATGCATTAATAATACATGTTTTCAGATATACTATTAGTCATATCAGTTCAATTGAGTTTTGTTAATAGAAAAGAAGTTTAAATTAAACACACTATAATGTTTAAAATGCATTCAAGACAACATTATGATGAAGCATTAACAGATAGAACAGCCTAATCATAAGTATTTCCATTTAGAAAAACATTGAAATAGACCTGGTAAACAATTATTTCAAGGTCAAGGCGTATTTTGTTTTTTGTTAATTTTATTAAATTTTGTTGAATATTTAAACATTTTTTGCTCAAATCTTAATAGTTTGATTTCAAAGTCATGGTACGTACATCTTCAGTGGCAAGGAGATACAGTAAAAATTTATATTCTGTATTTAACAGTTTAAAGGAGAACTTCAATATGTTGGTAATTTCATGAAGAATGACCAAACTATTAAAAAAAAAATTTAATCAAAAATATTTTTGGCTTGCTTTATAAGCCATCAGTTAGAGAACAAACTTTAAATAGATATTCTATTTAAATATTAAAAAATTCCATTCTGAAGATAATCTTTAATTATTATTTATGCTTTATTTATGGAAAAAAAAAGTCAAAGTTTTTTTCCTAACAGTACCAATCTAGATATCTTGACAAGTATTAAAATACCTTTCAAATAAAATAAAAATGAAGTTTCTATATGACTAATTCATAAATGTGGAAAAAAGAAGTCAGTTTTATCACCACTAACTTAACTTTAAAAACAAAATTTTGTGGATGATTTTGCCAATTCCAAATTTGGCATCATTACACAAACTAAAATATGACACTACAGATGTAATATGTGGTCAAAGGTTCATTCTCTATTTCAAATCATTCAAAATTCAATAGAAAAAAATAACTTCCAGTATCCGAAACATTACAGCTCATTTTTTAAAAAATGTATTACAACAACACATGTAACCCCGACAGACTACAGTATAAAAACATGCATTTTTAATGAAGAAAATTTAGACTATTGCTCACATCGAATTGGATCTACAGCACAGTCATTTATTATCCTCAAAAAATTAAAAAAAAAAAAAAATGGTTTGATTTATAGAAATTCACTATATTATTACATATAAACTGCTGAAATTTTAGTGTGTATTTATTTAAAGAATATTCTTTTAGTAGTTGAATTACAAATGGTAATATCTATATATTAAAAAAAAAAAATTATTCAAATTTTCAAAAGTTTCTTAAAAATATTCATAAAATTTGATGACATATGAAAAAATTCTTATCATCCACTTCTAAACAGTAATTAGTAAATATAATTTCATAGTCAAAACATAAATAATACATAGTGTCTATACATATAAAACTTGTTTAATATTTAAAAAAACTTAATTATCAATTTAAAAACAAATAAATTTCCTGGACCACAGCTGTTCATTCAAGTCAAATTGCTTCCATTCCTCCTTATCAAACTTACTTGTAATCATGAGTTGTCCTTTATATCTTGACAAGAAATTTTCCGGGTAAACTTTATTTATATTTTCTAAGAGAATTAACTTTTTTTAAAAATCAAAATATTAAATTATTTAGTCTAGTTTTATTGATATCATTTATAAAATTTTAATAATTTATCATCACGTATTCCATTACACAAAACAAAAATGTAATTATTTGTTCGTCAGTGTCATAATTCTGTTTTTAATTTGATATTTAAATTTATAAAATAAAATTTTAAAAAATTCTTTTAAATAACCCCTAAACATTTTCAAATTATTAAACCGGAGACTTACCAAACTCGTAAGAGATACAACAGCTGAATAAAAACACTTATACAAGACTTCCCAAAAATGATCAACACTATCCACTTTTCAAATTTGCCTCTTTCAAATTCCACCAATAGCGACGTCTCATTTCGTGTGACGTTTCTCGTATTTTACTAGTCCGTTTAAAATTTATAAAATGTAATATAATCGTCATTAAGTGATACAATAAATACATATTTATTTCGTTATTACGTTAAAAATTATAATTAATATTTGAAAAAGGAAAATATGGAATACTTATATACTCAATTTTATCCAATGAGCATCGAGTATTTCGATATAAAATTTGCTGTTTTAGTTTTAAACTACATTATTATAAATGTTTATAATTTTATTAATGAATAACGTTCAAAGATAATAAAGTTTAATACATGTAACGAAAATTTTAAAATTTATTATAATTTTTTTTTGTTAAAAATTTTGTTACATAAACGTATAGATTAATTCCCATGTAGAATTATTTAATTATATTAACAAGAAAGAAATAATACTTAGATTTATTGAGTAAATATTTCAAATAGATCCATATTATGTCTATTATTATCACATGGCAAACCATATGTGATTTGCCACGTGATAAATGTCATGGAGGAGAACGTGATAAGTATAAACGAATGCCATGGGAAATTTTTCGTATGGAATGCTCAGGGTCTGTTGATTAGAAAATTCAAAAAATTGAATAATGTTTATTTTTCATTATTATAAATGATTTATATATGCTATAGTTTTTCTACAGATGCCGACGAAGGAAGTTCAGATGTATCGAAAGTGTTTTTATAATTTTCTCATTCTTCTGTGATTATTGAAGATATAATGATGATTTATTAACTAAATAAACAATTGAATTATGTTTTGAGACTTATACAAAAGATTTTTTATCCTATTATGAATAATATAGAGTTATCAGTTGATCACAAAGTTTCTATAAATGCTAGTTAGAAATAGGCTTGCTCTAATTTTCATAAATCCTGCCTATAAATTGCCATAAATTCTGGACACTAAGCCGCATTTATTTGTACAGAACATATTGTAATAAAACCAAGAAAATGAGTGGATTTCTGGCTACAAACTGACTCATGCAAAGTTACGAGATCATTTTTAAGAAAAACTACAAAAATCTTTGCTCAAAAGTAGTGACATTTATATGAAAAAGCAGCAGCCTTTTTAGATTTATCAAAAAGTAAAAATGCATTTGTTATATCTTTGTTATTGACTTTTTTCTATGTTAATTTTTGGTGCAAAACAAAGGTTAGCATTTGATTATATTCTAGTAAACCATAGAATTAAATGAATGTGATGTACAGTAGTCATTGCAATCCTCGATAGACTCTGAAATAACTATATAAATTGCGGGCTGTTTGGCCAAATTCTGGATTTATGGCAAGCCTAGTTAGAAGTTACTCATATGCTCTTCAAACAAATATAGAAATGGTAAAATATTAAAGGAGTCTGACTGTTTTAATAGAGATTAAGCATTTTTCAAGACATTTCTTTCATCATCAGAACTACACAACAACATGCACAACAAAACTAATTAGAATAGTTTTTTGAAAATATTCTAATGGTATAGTTTTTTGAAAATATTCTAATGGTATAGTTTTTTGAAAATATTCTAATGGTACTGTTTGAACATTCAAAGCATAGTCTGATGGAATTGCATGATTTGAAATGTATTATGAACATTTAAATAGCACCATTAAAACATTTTTGAAAAACTTCATTTAAATTAATTGTGATCTGATGAGGAGCTGTCCATAAATGACATCCATACTGGGAGGGAGGGAGAGGATTGAGTTTCAGTGGACATTTGTTTTATTTCATTAAATTTTATACAGTTTATGCATTTTATTATTATATTTATTTCAAAATTTCTTGTATGTTTTGTTTATACTTATGGTATCTTTCATTCATAGTGATAATGGTTTTAAGAGGGGTTGAGTTTTGTTGGACATCTGAAGAGGGGAGGGTGTTATAGAAACCTAGAAAAACTGGGATAAGGGGAGAGGAGGAGTAAAAATTTCAAGAAAAATGCAGAAGTAATTTATGGATAGCCCCCTAGAGGTGAAATGTCTTGAAAAATGTTTAATCTTGATTAAAATATTTAGACCATGGATCTCAAACTGGTGGTCTGTGGGTTGGATATGGCCCATTAAGGTTTTGTATCTGGCAAACAAGGCTACAGGCCAGATACAAAACCTTAACAGGCCATATCTGGCCTGGGGCCTTGATTTCTTTTCTAAAAATCAAAGTTTCTGACATCTTGCAGGGATTAAAACAGAAAAATTTAAACATTATCTGTTTATGTAAGTTGTAAAGATGTGGCAACAAAAAGGGCCCTTTGTTAGAGCCTATTTTAAAATTATAGTTTGTTTTGGTTTACTGAATAGTATTGGATACAGTTCTCATCTGATATATAACTATTTGACTGGCTGTTTGCTTCATTTGAGACTTGCAATATTTTAGCATTTTTATATTTGTTTGTTTGTTCTGATGGAGTCATATAGATCTGAACAGATATATGCTCTTCTATGGTTTTAGCACAAGTGATATTTTTTCTCGTAGTCTTCTGCACATGTTACATATTAACAGAATTCATTATATAACTGTTTTTAGACTTTCAGCTGGCTTCAAGGCTTAAGTGATAATTTTTTTTTTTTTTTTTTTTTTCTTGCAGAATGAATTGTCATGTGTTAAATCTGGATTTTCGGAGTATCTACATACACATACATCAGACTGTTTAATTCATCATAACTGAATTTTTATTAAAATACTAGCTGCAAGGACCCGCTTCGCTGGGTTTTTATTTGTGGGCAAAAAGTAATGATAGTGAAGATTAAGATAATTACATTATAGCCAATCTTACCTGTTTTCACAGAATGTAAGAATTAGATCCCCTGTTTCCAGACTAATTAGAAAATTTTTACATCTAGTCAAATGAACTATTTTCAATCTGATCAATTTTCTGGAACGTTTACAATCGTTTTATAATCGAACAAATTCGAATTTGAAAATTTTTAAAATCGAAATAGAAAATCTTCCACTTTCAAGCCCATATCTCCCACACCCTTATAGCTATTGAGACGCAACCACCATAGTGCACGAATGGAGACTTGGGGCTACTACCACATACAAACACCATTTATGTGCAATGTGTAGTTTTGGCTGAAAAGTGAAATACACATGTCCATTTTTATATATATATACAGTATATATAAATGGACGTGTGTGTATATATATATATATAAATATATTCTTGAGGTTGTGTTATGATCTAGAACATAATCCCAAACAATAGGCTTTATGGTCACTATTTGCATTCTTCTCCGGATGCTTGCCCTCTTGTGTTTAAAAACAAAACTATTTTATCTGGGTGGTTTGAATTGTTCTTCTGTATTGTTGACAGTAAAGATGAATAGCAATAGAAAAAGCAAAACTTTCTGTTGCATTCCAAATTGCAAGTTCAAAGCCATACGGGAGCCCAATATAAGTTTTTGTTTATTCCTGCATGAAAAACAGATGATTAATCAGAATTTGGAGCAGCTCATAAATATAACCAACAGAAAGAGTGTACTCGACTGTTAAGAATTGACAAAAAAGTTTCCCGATTATTCAGCTTTATATGAACAAGTTATGCTGTCAGTTTTAAAGGATTTTTCTTAAAGCATAAAATGTCAGTTATTTTGTGTAGGCCGGATTTAAGCATTTCAATGCCCTAAACTGAACTCTGTGTGAGGAACCCTTCACATTTTTAGAAGTGAATCATAAAAAGAAAAGAATTAACATATAAATAAATAAATGTTTACTGGAATTAATTAAATAAAATAAACAAACACCTTTCTCTATTCCAGCACAACGTTTAATGCGTTAAAAACGTTTTTGATCGTTTTATGTTCGAATTTGAACTGAGGAAGATCACTTAAAACGATCGAAAACATTTTTAACGCATTAAACATTGTGCTGACATAAACATATTACAGTAACTACTTTTTATTTTGTGTAGTATTTAAAGTATACGAGGGTAGTCCCAGAAGTACCCGACCTAACAAAAAAGACAAAAAATTTGGGAAACATATCTTTATTTCTCAACATAGTCTCCTTTTAGCTCGATACACTTTTCCCAGTGATGTTCAATAGCTTCTATACCCTGTTTATAGTGAGAACTGTCAAGTTTCTCAAAATAGCCATCAACTGCAGACTCCACCTCTTCATTGTTGGCAAATCTTTTACCACTGAGGCATTTTTTTCAAGTTTGCAAAGAGAAAATAATCCTACGGGGCTAAATCTGGTGAGTAGGGTGCGTGAGGAAGCAATTCAAACCTTAACTCGTTGATTTTGGCAAGTGTGATAACATATGTGAACTGGTGCATTGTCTTGATGAAACAACACTTTCTTTTTTGCCAAATGCAGCCATTTTTCATGATTTCATCACTCAAGTGCTGCAATTTGCATAATACTTGCCATTGATTGTTTTTCCTTTTTGAAGATAGTCAATGAAAATTATCCCATGTGCATCCCAAAAAACTGATTCCATGACCTTGCCAGCAGATGGAACTGTCTTTGCCTTCTTCGGAGCTGATTTTCCTCTTTCAGTCCATTATTTTGACAGTTCTTTCATCTCAGGCATGAAGTGATGTACCCATGTTTCATTCATGGTTATGAATCAATGCAAAAACTCAGCTTTATTGCTGCAAAACATCACCAAATACTCAATTGAAACATTCTCACAATGCTGTTTTTGTTCCATTGTGAGCAAACGCAGCACCCATCTTGCGCTCAGCTTTCTCATGTCCAAATTTTCAGTCAAAATGCAATGTACAGCACTTTTTGAAATGCCTACCATGTCTGCTAGCTCTCATATTTTGAGTTGATGGTCATCCAATACCACTTTGTGGATTTTTTTCACCATTTCTGGCATGGTCACCTCATTTAGTTGACCACTGTAATGTTCGTCTTGGCAGCTCGTACAGTCTCATTTAAACTCTTCCACCCAATATTTTATTATTGTAAACAAGGGAGCAGACTCCCCCAGAATAGAATCTAGATCAACTTTAATATTGGTTGGACTGAGACCTTTCAAATGAAAGTATTGTATCACATAACAATGACCAATTTTTTCCATGTTTACAAATTAACTGAGATCATTCACTATTGATGGCTGTCAAACAAATACTAAACAACATGGCGTCTTCAAACTTAAGCTTTATAAGATTGGTACTTTCAACTACAGTAATTTTTTCAAACAACTACTGCCATCTATACTATATGTCAGGTTGGGTACTTCTGGCATAACCCTCACATTTTGTTGGTTTGTAAAAAAAATTTTTATTACAAAATTTGACTTCAATTTTCTTTTTTGTACAAATTTTTGAGGCCCCTTAGAACTCAAGGCCCTAAGCAAAAAGGTAACATAGCTTTCTTGTAAATACGGCCCTGATGGGACAGATGTCATAGCTAATGTTTTTTAATACAAAGAGCACAAATGTATAGAACAATTTCACTCATTTGTTTCTATTCCACATGTAATGACATGCCCCGCTAGCAGTAAATGTTCTATAAAATCTCTTGATAAACAGCTACAAGCAGAAATATCATTATATCGGACAGTAATATATGATTAATTTTACATTGACTAGTTACAAACGACCCAGA